CAAGCGGTCTCATGTGTTATCGCTATTGTAGTGACGGCTGAGGTTTTTGTACCAATTTATTACTCAATGGGATTCATAAGTGTTAATGAGGTTTGAGATGCAAATTGACATAAATATTGAACAAGCAACATTATTACGAGTTTAGTATTTAGGAAAACGATTTGACGCTGATTATATGCGATTTGCCGGTACAATGGGAATAACGTTTAAATATGTAACCTGATTCATTTTTATGACCATGTTCATCATATAAATATACATAATATCATATGGATTTATAGATACCTCATTTGGCGACTGTATTGTATGGACCGGCAGTGGCTCTCAGTGCAGGTGTCAAATAATTTCACTGCTAATAATGAACAACATTTTATTCTTACCTTGGTTAGAGTTTTATATTTTAAATTTTATTTTAATTAGTGACACCGCTATCTATACCGACGTCTATACTATTGGTGGGATTTATATGCACTTTCTATACAACTATTGTGAGATATTTATAAATAAACAAATCTTATGAGAAAATAATTAAAACATGTATTGGAAAGGGAGGCATAAAAGCGGTCATTTGGACGGACGTATTGCAGGGCTCACTCATGTTTCTGGGAGTCCTTGTGGTTATCATTACAGTAATAAACAAATTCATGTAAAATTATATTCAAGCACATTAATTAACAAAAAGTAAATAAAACCAAATAGGGTGTCATAGAAACGGGTGGACTCAAAGAGCTGTGGGACATAAATGAGCGAGGGGGTCGACTCAAAATTTTTAAGTAACATTACTACTGTGTTCAAATGTATAAATTAACGTATATTTAATATTATCTATTTATACACGTATTTCTAGTATGAAAGTCGATGTCTATAATCACGACAACGCCTGGAATATGCTGTTCGGAACGGCTATCGCGTGGACGAGTGGTTACAGTATATCACAGCAACAGATACAGCGATACTGTAATATGGGTTCACCGCAAAAGGGCCGGCGGTGTGTATATTATTTTTTAAAATCACCTTCCCGATCAACTACACTCTTATACATTTATACATGTACTTATTTATTATATACAAATAGGGCGTTGTATTGGAATCTCCCGGGGCTCATACTATTTACATTTATGGCCGTAACGTGTGGCATGGTCATATACGCCAAATACCACGCGTGTGACCCTGTTACTCTGGGTCTGGTCAAAAGGCACGACCAACTCATGCCGTATTACGTTATGGACACCTTATCTCACTACCCGGGAATACCGGGCCTTTTTGTGGCCTGTGTGTTCAGTGGGTCACTCAGGTATGTTATGTTTAGAAAAATTTAGAAATAATTAATTACAATGCAATTGAAAGCACCCTATCGTCGGGTTATAACTCATTGGCGGCCATCACTTGGGAGGACCTCATTAAAGATCGCGTGAATCTCAAAAATGATAGCCAGGCCCTGATTATTACTAAATTAATTGGTACGTGTAATTAGTCTTTAAATACTGGTATTTATGGTTATACTGTACGGTATATTATGGGGACAGCCATGTCCTACGGACTGCTAATCATTGGGTTCGCGTTTCTCGTGGGAAACGCCGGGACTGTAATGCAGGCGTCGCTGGCTATGAGCGGCGCTATGAGTGGCCCTATATTTGGCTTATTTATTGTCGGCTTATTTCATCCGTACGCCACCGCACCGGTAGCCAAAATAGACTATAATATAGTATATTGTGTTATTAAAAATTACATATTTTATGATATAATCTGCTATAAAGGGCGCATTAATAGGATTTCTGAGTGGATATGGCGTTACCGTAGTCCTCGCTATCGGTTCGCTGGTTATTCCGCGACCGAAGGTGTCGTTACCGACCACTTTAGACCACTGTCCCCTAGATGTCATCCAAAGTGTGTTCACCCAATTTGAAACACTGCCCAACTCTACGTACATCCCGTCCTATGATAATGTGGAGTATGTCTTACGAAACACTTCACGAAATTGTGTGTAAAATAAAATATTTTTTTCAGAGGTTTGGGTCAATTCTTTCACATCTCATACCTATTGCTGTCAGCACTTGGATTCACGATATGTATTGTGATGTCAGTAGCGGCCAGTCTATGCATAGGTTTGTCAGTAATACATGATTTATAAAATGAGAAATATAAAATTATACTACATATTTAATTTTGTTAAATATATCAGGCAAACAAATCAAAACACTCGATACAAAACTTATGTCACCAGTCGTAAAATATATATTTCCCGGTATTGGCGCCCAAAATAAAGTATTGTAATTTAAACAGTAAATTATAGTTTTAATAATTATATGAATTTTGTGTCAGCAAAAATCCAATGATATCGAGACAATAGATGCTACGTATGTGTCGGAGCCCAAGGGTACACCAGATTTAAATCAACCCTATATTAAATATAAAGTAACCAGTGTTTAGACAAATAAAATAATTTACAATTCTATACTAGGATTATCTATCTATAAATTATTACTACAGTACAGTATAAATCATTTAATTATGAATTAATAAAATATTGATATAAAAATAAAATTACATAGAAAAAATTAGTGGTCAATTATTGTCTCATTGAGTAGTTTTGTTTCGGACTGGTCTTTGATGGTTGAGCTCATGTCTCAATTACAGGACAGTCTATTGTGAATGTCAAACGTGTGATTATTTTCAATCATTTTCGGACCACTTATTATCATTAAATCATTTCTCATTTAATAATTCAAACAATTATGTCATAAAAACTTTACAGCTTTCACACATAGTATGTAACCTGACAAATAATCTTATTTCATTATTAAAAATATAATTTATATTAACTATCACTGATGAATCATCAGTGATGAATCAAACTGGTATCTATATTTTATACTATTCATAATTAAATGAATATAATTCAATTACAAATTACAAACAAAAAAGTAAATGCATGTTATATCATTTGAAAAACTGATATAAAAATTATTGTTTTATTATCTATACTAACAAACAATGTCCAAAAATCTCAAAGAAATATAATAAAAACATGATATGATTGTGATATATTAATTCATTATATTCATAGCAGGGCTGTTTGTAATATTCCTTACAAATCAAAAATAAAAATGCTTATTAAAAATATAATTAATAAATTTTTGTTTATTCTGATTTTAAATATATTTAAAATAAATTGTGACCTTAATAGCAGTATTCAACTACTTAAAAATCACAATAATAAGCATACACAAACATCTACCACAACTGGATCATCACCTGAACCTACCCTCTCACCCATTGTCACCACATTTACAGTGACACTGACATCTAAATTGCCGACTCAAACCTACCCGTCCACCAGAGGCCCGGAAGATTTGGATTGTGATTTTGATTACCACTGTCAAAATCTGTCCACATATGATGGTATTAGACCATATTGTGACGATTATAAGTGTGTTTGTCCGGCTAATTACCGGTTCAGTAAGACTAGTAAGTCGTGTCAATATATTGACTGCAAAGACGACTCTGAGTGTCGAGAAAGTGATTGGATTTGTGACACAAGTCTTCAGAGTTATCGTTGTGTTTGCAAAACAGACTTAAAAATAAATGCAACTAAAACTATGTGTCAAATACCCGAATATGGTCAGCCCTGCACCGCACGTACAGATTGCAATGGTGATAATATGATGTGCAGTGTTATTAATGGGAAAGGTGTATGTCTGTGTGCAGACAATTACGAGTGGAATTCCGACAACAATAAATGCCTATCCAATGGATGCAAAGAGAGTAAGGAGTGTTCATATTGTCAGTACCCGGATAATAGATACTGTTCCAGAAAATGGTTGGGAGAATGCTACTGTTCATATAGCAAGTATAATACTGGTTACAGGTGCTCACTATGCAGCTTATGGTACCCAACCACCAGTTATTCGTACACAACGAGCGGGTATTGGTACCCAACCAGTAGTTATGATGGGGTTAATGGTTGGGGTATTGCTATACCCGCGATACTGGGAATTGTGTTTATCATAGCATGTCTAAGATGTTGCTGTAAAATGGCTGAACTCCAAAAGAAGTCGAGAAGTACTAGTGGTACCAGGTCTACAACAAACACCAGGGTAGCTTTTCCTTATATAGTGAGGCCCGCCAATGAGCGAAATACCCGTCCGGTTAGTCAACCCATAAGAACCGCTAATTTAAGCAGAAATTTGAATCATTCTGTGACTAATATGTCGCCCAAAGTTGATGACAAACCCCCGGCGTATGGGGATTGTAGTCAACCCCCGACATACTCATCACTGCAGTTTGATAAATGATATGTTATTTTTTAATTGAATTTATTTTATTATAAATGTTATCTTAATTTAATCAGTTTTATTGTCTATTTTTTACCGTGTTGTTGATTGATATTATGTTAAAAGTATCACTGGTTAATAAAATAATGTACAAACTGTTATGCAATTCTGTAATATACGTAAATTGTTTTACAAATTAACCAAAATATAATAAAAACAGACATTTAACAGATATAAATATCATAATATTCAATGATACTCATATTAAAAGTAATTTTATTTTTAATATAGTATTGTAAGAAAAATTAAACCTAGTCTATGTGTTAATTGTGAATTCATACAATTCAATATAGAAATATTCAAGTTATTTTAATTGTTTATTAATTAAGCATTATTTATGATGAGTATGTTTTAAAAATATTTGTTAAAATAAGTTCATTTTATATGACATATTTACTACGGTATTGATAACATAATAGACTAATAAATAAATCATGTGATGGAAAGTTATTGCTATGTTATGATAACTAAATGTGTAAATTGTTTCTTAACTATTCATAACAATATTATTTCCAGAATTCAAAGAATTATTTATTTGCACTAAAATATTGTTTGTAAGTAATTTAATTTTTAAACACATTATGTCAATCAAGGCACTATTTTTATTTAAATTTGTATTTTTACTTTACAATATGTATTCAATTAATTGTTTTGATGTTTATGAAGATCATTTTATTTTATTGAATAATTTAAACATTAACACAAAATACTCCTCAAATGAGACTAACTATGAATTTGGTTTTAATACATATACTGATTGTGAGTACAAAGTATTTCACAAACATCACGGTAAGTTTCGATTTAAACTATTTTATAATGATTTATAAATGTTCTTGATTAATTAATATAGCCCGAGACCAGCAACAGTGGCAGTGCTCCTATTCAAGCTCAGGTAGTAGTGGACCACGACCATGGACCTATTTTATGATAGTATTTGCTGTGATCATGATATTAACTGGTATATTTAAATGTTATTGGACATGCAAACTTATGAATAAAACACCAATAACAATCGAGTCGACTACTACAACTAATACGACCAGGGTGGTCACGCTTACATTGGCTGATGATTATGATCAACGCCGCACTTATGCCATAAACATGTCAACCGGTACCGCAGTTTTGGACAGAACTCCAGTTCCTCGTAATTCTATGCCTAATATGCCCAATAATAATGACCTTTTACATTGGCTGATGATTATGATCAACGCCGCACTTATGCCATAAACATGTCAACCGGTACCGCAGTTTTGGACAGAACTCCAGTTCCTCGTAATTCTATGCCTAATATGCCCAATAATAATGACCTGGATATTAGGACTATTATAATAGATAAACCCCCGCCTTATGTTGAATGCATTCAACCACCGGCCTATTCGGAATTACCTAGATAATATTTAATTTATTATTTTGTTTATAATTATCTAATTATCAGTCTGTTATATAAAATAATTACTATTTCTAACTCGTAAGCAAGTATTTAATTTTGTAAACTCATAAAAAGTTATTAAGTGTAATAATTGAATGTGACAAATATTAAATTATATATTAAAGTGAATTGAAATACATTTTTTATTAAAAGTTTTTAGAGAGGTATAAAAAGTATGAAATATTAAATTATAAAAATACTATCTTAGTGGTAACCAATGATGATATCTATGATGTAGTAAAAGTATTTTATTAATAAAACTGTAAATGTTTATACGAAAAGATTTTTAAATAAACTAATTTTTATTAAAACAATAATTTGGTTGCAGTTCGTACATAATTTAAAAAAAATAAATGTTTTATTAATTAACTATGCCATAAACTATTTTCATTCATAAATAATTGTTAACGTTGAAAATTAATGAGATCCATTACTTTTATAATACATGTTAGTTATAATTTTATTTATAAAATCATTACTTTTATATAATTAAATATTGTATTGAAAGTGAAGCATCATATCTCATATTATTAAATAATCAATTAATACAGAAATGAATTAAGATAAAGTTTTTAAAATTAATTCAATATAAATTTTATGTTTAACTAGCCCAAACTTTAATATTCGCAAACCATCTTAAAATAAATTTTAAAATTAAGACTATGTTACAGTTTCAAAAATAACAGATTTACAAAATAAATATAAATAATATACTTTATTCGAATTATTATTTGGACAATTATATTGAAGTAACAGTGTTTAGATTTTTAATAATAAACATTTAGATAATAAAACAAAACTCATATTGCACACTTTATTCGTAACCACAACTCTTTTTACACAGAATTCATATAATAATAAATTTTATAATACTAATAAACCGCTTTACAAATTGCTTCATTAAATAATAAATACTAACTTATATGATCTAAATTATATATCAGAAGTATAGTTAAAAATTTGTTAACCAATGTTATCAAACATCTCATTGTCTACAAATTACTGCACTATTAGGGACTTCTAGTACTGTTAGTATAGCTAAAGTATTATACAATATATGCAATATATTATAAATTAATTTGTTTTATTAAGTACGATAAGTGTCCAAGTGTAGTTTTATTATACTCTTCAAATCAAAGTTATTTATTAAATTGTAGTCATATATACACGTGTTATGGTGTTGTGACATTTAATCG